TTTTATTTAGAAATTTAAAATTATTTAAAAGACTTATACAATGGGCTCTCAATCACCAGAGAATACATCTCTCTTCTGGTTGTCTAAACATTTTAGATCCCGGTTTGCAGTGAAAGGCGTCCGAAAACTTATCGAAGTTGGCTAACGAACCGTCGACTCGCACCGACTCCGGCGGATGGGCGCCGGACTCCAGGGTCTTCTTCACAGCGTTTGGCAAATTGTTTGAACACCACATCTATTGTCATAAACATTAACACAACACAAACAAAAACACAGAATTTACATTTCATTAGATTAGTATTTCATCTATTTGTACATGTATGTGTGAATTATTGTCTATGAATTTATTATTTTTCCACTTATTTTTGTTCAATAAACGTGTTTACACTTCATTTACATTAAGGTCTTTTTTTTGGTCAATGATTTCTATTAATTTCTATTTCCAGGAAAAACTGATATTTTAGTATTTATTGTCTGATGTCTGACAATTGCAATATTTTCCCACTCGCTTCCAGCTTTACTTCCACTAAGTAGGTCTAAATAAAGATCAGCAAGTTGCTTTATTTCACTTTTTCTTATACCTTATTATCATGAAAAAGGACTTAAATTTACAAAAATCCCATTTTGTTTGATTTATATAATAAACACGTTAAACAAATATTAAAATATAAACGCCTTGTTATTAAGCGTTTATTTTTCATTTTTACATAAATTTTCAATTTAATGATAAATTTGTTTGTTTTTTCTTATCACTCAAACTAACACTTTATAAGTATATCTCATTTGAATAACAAAACTTTTTAAAACTCACAAAAATAAGTCTGTATTATTGCAATTAAGGTGCTTTCACATATTACGTTCGCACTTGGGGGGGAGGGGGTGTCGAACATTGCAAAACTTTGCAAACGAGAATAAATATATTACTTTTGAATTGAAATTTTATCTTCAATTTTATTTCAGGAGTGGGGAGTGGGGGACGGGTAAAGAGTTAGGGACATGCTAACGTAATTTTTTAAAAATAGCTGCATGCGAACAATTGCTAACAGAAGGGGGAGGGGGTTTACATTTCTGAAAAAATTACGAATGTAATATATGAACGTTCCCTTACTAATAATATTACTGATATAATATAAATGCAAATGATTAAAAAATAATAATCCGAATTTGATAATAATTATTATGTTTGACCTTGTTTACGTCTAATATACTATACATTATTAGCACAAATAATTAATTCAAATAAAGGCTTACGTTAGCAAATGATATGAAAAACAATTGCTCTTCGTCAAATTGATCCATTTTTCCGGGCAATCTCTCAAACTGTCCCGACCTTTGCTTTTGATACGCTTTTAGTGCCTATTTATCAAACATTTAATTAATAAAAAATTATTATAAATCAAATGATAAATATAGATAAATGTTACAAAACAAACGCTCACCCGATATGCTTCACGTATACCGCCGTTGTCGGCAATATTTTCACCCAATGTTAGGCTCCCATTGACCTGAATATAGAGAATTGTATAGAAATGTTTGCATTGAATACAGAATTGAAATATATGTCAGAATATTCCCAATTCCGGTACTAATATATCAATTGATAGGCGTATATAAAGTATTACAAATGGGAATATTAAATGATAAACGAGTTGATCAATAATATGTACCGTCATATTCTGTTCGGGAAAGCGATAGGAATTATACTGATTGACAAAACATTGACTTTTATCAGTAAAAGTCTTGCGAGCGCTCTCTGACCACCAGTTTCTTAGATCTCCCTTAAAGTCATAGAGACTTCCTATGAATCATATTTTAAGATATTTTAGTATTAATAATAATTATTATCGATATTTATTTAATAGACTAACCCTGGATATCGAGTGCGTGTGTCATCTCGTGAGCCATTATCATCCCAATAGATCCCAAATTCATAGCCCTGTTATACAATTAAAATTAAATTATAAGAAATGTACATTTTAATATAATTGGGAAAATTGACAAGGGACATTGTCTATAAAATACAATGGATTTTACAACTCAAATATTTATTTTAATAAATGTTTAAATATTTGCGAAACATTTTAAATAGAGAATTGCATGATGGATAAATAAGTATAAAGACTTACCATGGTCGATCCATCATATAGAATGGGTATTGCGCTATTCCGGCCGGAAAATCTGTAAATAATAGCAATGCATTTAAATCACTTAATCACAAAACATTATGCATAATTATATTTACAAATGAGACTTAGCAATTAAATTAATATAACAATTGATTAAGACAAATATACTATAGTATTATTTAAATTATATATACAATAAGAAACTATTTTTTAATTATTTCTGAAGTATTTTAAATGAGAATTAAGTCTTTATTTATAATTAGCGTCAAAAGAAAGATCAAAAAGTAAAAACTTTGCTACCATTAATGCTACCATAAGAATGCATTAAATTTCTTTGTCTTAAGCTTTCTCCTTAATATAAGAGCATTTAAATAAAACATTAAACCATATATTAATACTAAAATTATGTGATAATGTGTGGGCTCTTTGTGTATACATATTGCTGTAGATTAATATCAAATGCTTTGATTCTTAACCTTTTATATGTTATATATAACAGTAATTCTGAAAAACTTTCACTCTTTTCTATAAATATAATACAACACAGAATTGGATATAAATTATGAATTTATGTTATGATAAGTGTTGGCAAAACCTTCGTTATTAATTTACACATTTATATTGAACTCAATTATTAATGTTGTCGTAAGTAATGATGTTATTTTGCACGTAATATTCATTTCAATCTTACATTACATGTAATATTACGCAAAATCGGTAAAATTCAATTTTTAAAAATCCACCTCGCTGTTAGCTCACTCCCAATTCATTACTCGCTTTATTTAACATTGACGTTTCCTTTAATTTTATTTAATGAACTTATTTTATTTATTTTTTATTTGTTAATCAAAAATATTTGCTCTTCAAATAAAATAAAATAAATTATATTTAAAATGAATGAATTATTAGCATTAAGTTTAATTATTAACTTTAGTATAGTTCTCTAAATTGCTAATTAAAATAATTTATTATTAAATAAAATAAAACGATTATAATTAAGTATTGCTAAATGTTATCATAATAGTAAATGGTAAATTTTACTATAAACGTGTCTAACCAATAGTCTATATTATACACTCTATAAGAATAAACACAAAATTCAATCTATTTTATTATCCAATAGTGATCTAGATAACTACAAACATATAATGTTATGTAATGTTAGTGAAAGCATTAAACATACACTTCTTTAGTGATCAATTCATTGATAATTTACACCATTTATATTTAGATATTATGCAATAGCAAAAACTACTTGGTATTTGTAATACAAAGTACAGTAGTTTGTATTATTATAATAGAAATGTTTACTATTACTTTAATCAACTTATAAAGTAAAACATCGAGTGTTTCCGAGAGAAAAAAAATCAAAGCAACAAAATTCAATGCAAATTTGATTTAATTCTTTTGCCTTCAAATGCA